TAAACACTGCAGTGAAGCCTTGATTATTTTGCATTTGAGTCCTGCATTTTGATTCCACAAGTATTTCTAAAAATGGGCAATTCTGCTTATACGTTATCAAACTAGCTCAGTAAAAGTCTAAAACAGAATTTTGATTCCTCTTTTACTTACTGCCTGCACTCCTCTTTATTTTCTGCTGACTTAACTAAGTGTAATACAGTTGAGAAATCTATATATTATTCAAAAATAATCTGTATTATTCTGAGAAAAGCATTTATTCTGTTTTTCTGCTCCCCCCCCCCATCATTTATTTATTTATTTAAAGAGCTGTACAAATGGAAGGAAATTCCATTTTCCCCATAGTTTGTGCTTAATTTTTCTACATTTTTCTGCTTTAGTCCTTGGGATAGAAGAGTTAATAGTAGTTTCTTGATTGCTTAATTTAGGTATCTACCTTAAATATTAGAGCCTTATGTGTTTAACTTCTGCAATATATTACTCAACAAATATGGTTAGAGGCATTGTTTCCAATCTAACATTTTAATCTTTTCTCCACCTCAGGGTGAAATTGTTGCGTGAACAGAAAAAAAAACAGTTGGAAGATCTTGGCTACTGTCGAGAAGAAAGGTAAGGACCAACCCATTTGTGAGGAGTTTGGCCCACCTTTGATTGATTTAAACCATGTATATTTTATTTCTTAGCCAAAAAGAATCCTAGAATGACTCTCTATTTGAGTAGGACGTGTCCTAACCTCAGGGCTTACAGTCTAAATGACATGACGGACAAAGAACTGGGGATGGAGATTAGGAGAAGCAAGTTCAGCATGAGTTCTTAATGGCAGTTCTTTGACCAGCTGCAACAGAACCGGTTCATGTCACTCTGTGGAACAGCTGGTACCACATAAGAGTTATGAGAGAACCAGAAGCAGTTAATTGCAGGACAGGAGACAGAATAGCCTTGTTAAATGTTTGTAGCCAGACGGAATGGTGACCTTTTACAGCAAAACTATACAAAGAACTATGATTGGTTTCTTGGTTCAAAGTTCTGGGTTGTCCCATGGAACTAGCCAAAAGTCAATGATACAGAATATTTTCCTACAAAAACTATTCCAGATTCACTTACTAATTCAATAGCTAGAATGGTTTGGTTTATAGAGTTTCAAAAGCCCATGGGTGTGTGACTTTAGAGAGTTACTGCCATATATCAATAGGTATCACTGAACTAGAGAAATTCATCTATCTTAGACTGGGCAGGCAGGCATTATAGGAAGTAACTTGTATGGCTATTGACCCAAGTTGCTGAACCTCAATCTGGTGACTGAATTCAACCGTTTTCTGAGTTTGTAAAACTGAACTGTACACAAATCAGATTGTTCACACAACTTGCTAAGCTACAAAAGAACCTAACCAAGGTTAACATGTGCATGCATCTGCTGGGACAGTAGATTCTAACCATTGCTCCATGCTGGCCAAGAATCTGAGGTATATGGAAGGAGCATTTGTCTTAAGTTCCACAGTAAACAAAGGGAGGCATAGGGTAGGGAACCTATGTCCCCCCCACCCCAAGAATTATAATTCCCATGAAGGAAGTTGAATTCCAGCATTTAAGGAAGCCATACGATGCTCACTCCAGGGATAGGGTAAGGCTTAGTTTGTGGAATTTATTGTGTTTGGTCAACATAAAGAAACTCATTGGCTAGACAGATACCTTTGGGCTTTTTCTTTTCCTCTGTGTTAACATCAGCAGGCCCAATGTTTAGCCCTAGAGGAATTTAAGTGAAGTTATATGTTCTGTATCTTGGGGCTCTTCTGCCTTCCCCCCAAATGCTGCTAGTAGGGATCATGGAAATGGATAGCAACAGATGTATCCATTAGGAGGTGAAGGTAATGACTTAAGAAACAGATCGATTCCATCAGTTTTACACGTGACAAAACAAATGTGTGTTGCTCTTCTTCTCATAAAGGAAAAGCTTGAGGGAGATGGCAGAGCGTTTGGCTGAAAAATATGAAGAAGCCAAAGAGAAACAAGAGGATATTGTGAACAGGTGAGGGTGTCATTTTACAGGGTCCTGTGATGCCCTGGAGTAACTATAAAAGTGAATACTCTAACTTCCTGCTAAAGAAGCTACTGCAGACTTGCTCAGAAGCCGTCGTTAAACAGAACTTCTTTCTAAATTATAATATGCGTATTAATAGAAAAAGAAAGCTGAGTTTGTGGAAGGACAGCTGCAGGCTGCATCCCAAGAAACCAAAAATGGATAAGCAGTTTTACCTCTGGAGCTGCTTCAGTAAAATGTCAGCTAACAACTTTATTGGGTTCACAAATTCTGCTAAGCCAAACCAAAACCAAATATTATTATTTCACTCAATGTGAAAATTGCTTTAGCAGTATTAAGCTTTTTAGAAAAAAGGGGCTGCTAGCTTTCTAAAAATTATTCTTGGTAGTATGATAACCCTCTTTTTCCTTGCCAAACTTCAAGTAATTAGAGTAACCTATAATTCTGCTAATATTTAATTAGCATAAGTGAAATGAATTCACTTTTGAACAAAAGTACAGTGGTACCTCGGGTCACGAATGCTTCTGTTCACGACCAATTCGGGTCACAAACAGCACCGTTCGCAAAATTTTGCTTCCGTCCGCGAATTCCGCATCGGGTGACAAACAGGATCCGCGGCCATTTTCCCTGCCGTGACACGTGGTCGTGGCTTCCTGTAGGGAGGGGGACTCTCCCTCCAAGCAATAACCTGTCCTCCATGTCAGAAGTCGCCTTGAGCAAGGTGTTCTCTCTCTTTGTACTGCACTGTACTGTTATATTAGTTGTACTGTATTTTGTTTCATATTTTTGTGGTTTTAAAAAAAAAATATGTATGGTTCAGAATGGATTAACCGTAGTTACATTGAACCTTACGGGAAAATTTGATTCGGGTTGCGACCAATTCAGGTTGCGACCAGAGTCGCGGAACGAATTAAGTTCGTGACCAGAGGTACCACTGTATATGTCATACCTCACCAAATCAAAAGACTAAAATCTACAAGTAAATTTGAAAGTGATGGTTATATACTCTACAAGCATAGCACTATTCTGAGAAGATAGTTTAGGTACGTGGTCTGAAAAATAGCAAAGCCCTATCTCCACTTGTTAGAAACCTGACATTCTCTTTGTGGCCACAGAATGAAGAAAGTTCTCCGTAGCTTCCACTCACAGCTGCCCGTCCTGTCCGATAGCGAAAAGGATATGAAGAAGGAACTACAAACAATACAAGAACAGCTGCGGCATTTAGGCAATGCTATCAAGCAGGTAAGTGGTGGCTCATTTGTAAAAGTGGTTCTAAAAAAATTAAAATATGAAAAATATTTTTGAAGTGTTTCTCCTTGTGGCTTTCCTGTACGGTAGGTTAAAATGAAAAAGGATTACCAGCAGAGGAAAATGGAGAAGGGAAGTAGTCCACGGAAGCCGAGCATCAATCTCAGCGCGTATCAGAGGAAATGTATCCAAGCGGTTCTGAAAGAGGAGTGAGTTGATGGCTTGCTGAGCTGCTTCTTGCATAAAGACTGATTACTAATTAATTAATTAATTAAATTTGTATGCCGCCCATCTCCCCTGGATATTTGGCTAATGGCAAATGCATGGCACACAGGCTTCCATATTGCTTGAGTTTCAGGGCTGGTGGTAACTGCTATACTAATGCTGTACAGTATATAAGTGATATGCACTGGCTGGAGTTGTCCATGTCCTAAATACTTGGGTGCTTACTAGCCTTCTGGGAGTGACAGCCCCCCCCCTTCTGTTTCCAGTAATAGGAAAGCAATTTGTGAGACTCTGTAGATATTAGTTATACACAAATGGCAGTGGACCAGCCAAAATATCTCATAAAGATTTAAATTGCAAGCTGTTCTTATTGCCTTTGCTCAAACCTGGGATAAAGAGAGCAACTTATTTTTTCTCTTTCAGGGGAGAACACATTCAGGAGATGGTGAAACAAATAAATGACATCAGGAATCATGTAACCTTTTAGTCATCATGACTTCAGTTTTTGGAATGTTAAACATGATCAGCTGCCCTTTTTCCTAATTTATAAACTGAACTATTTTTACAAAAACTTCATTGTTAAATACTCTCTAGAAGATGCATCTGGTTCTCAGTCTAATGCAAGGTGCAGCATTCTGCAGAAAGCGCGATGCTAAAGGCATCTGACTTCTGCCCTTTTGATAGCTTGTGGGGAAAAATACAGGAACTTGTGTATTTCTTGTGACTTCAACTTAAATATATGTTTGTAATAACACACTGCTTATTTCAAAATAAAAATAAACAATACAACCTCTGCACCAAATCTTACCACATAGATCATCTTCAGAGGTAACCTTATGAACCCTTAGATAATTAGTACAAAGCTTATCTAAACAGAAAGAAGGTATGAAAAGAATTGCAAGACTTTTCTCCTTTAATTTGGAACACTTTTGCAGGATACACCTCCAATACAGTTAACAAATGGTTACATTTTTTTTAAATTCAGTAGACAGGATTTTACATCCACAGTTTCACAGGACACCAGTGGCTTTTGCTGGAATGCAATTTAATTCCAAACGTGTGGAATCTGAAGGCTAGGTTTTTGTTTTAAAAAAGGGACTATATAGATTACTTACCCATCTCCCACCCTTATCCTTGGCCAAACTGTATTGTTAGAAGTTGTATAGTAGTGCCACAGGAGTTACAAAAGTAAAAGTATACCATTTGACATGCTGGAAGAACCTGTTGTGCACATATTAAGACTGTAAAAGTATACAGAACAGACCTAACCTTACTGCTCTTTCCTCTCTTTCTGCACACAACTCCTGTTCTTTAAATCAGTACAGATCACCACATTATACCTATTTGTAGTAGCTAAGGCTTGGAGTGAGAGACTGAAAACTAATGGTATAAATTAACTAATCCTTTACATTAAAAAGGTCAGATTCATATAGCCTTTAAAAAATGTTAATTATGAAAGCAATTTGTTTACTTTCAAGTGTAACTAGATCAATTTTGAACTGAGGATTTCCTGCCATTAAAACAAGCTTTCCCTTTTAAAAAATTGTATGAACAGGCAGCTTATAATAATTCTTCTCAGGTTTGTAGACTTGTGGATATACAGTATTACACTGTCAATGTTTGTTAAAGTTTAATTATATGTACACATTTTAAATGTACTACTGGTCTATCCTCCCTGCATTCTCTTCCACAGTAGTTTAAATATTTCTTTCCCCAATGATTCTGAAATACAGCAGCTAATCTCACTACTTTAGAGATTGTAGCATCACCTCCCCAATTAACCAGAATCACAATATGTAGTTTTTAGCCAATTCAATACAAATGCTTAGATGAGGTTGATCAGATTTGGCAGGGTTCTTTGAAAATGCTGCTTCCTAAAAGGAAAGCCATCTTTGCTCATATTTAATGATATACCAGTTGCATGAGCAGGATTAGGGAAGAAGGGTAAATCCACTTCTAATACTATATTAAAGATACAAAGAATCATAGTAATGCAAATCATTAGAGCAAACTCTTCATTCCTAGTAATAAGTCCACTTCTCTATCTTGTCACTGCAATGTTTGTTGTCATATTTTTTTTCTAACCAGCAGATTGAAACAGACTGGATTCCAGCAAATGCTTTTTGATTTTGTACCAGTTACATAGTTAGGGCAACTTGATTCCATGTAAGTTCTTTCTCCTCCTCCTCACCCCAATTACTTCCCAGAAAACCTGAAACAGATAAGCTCAGTTGATGGTCCATGCCTACCCAAAGGTAAAATGGAACAATAACTCTTTTTCAGGAACGGGGAAGCACTCAGGCTGTTCATCTATTTACATTGATAAGATATACAAAACTAGATATTGGATCAATACTTGGTTAGCCAAGAACCAAGTAATAGTAAACATGATTAAATTAGGACTGTTAGATTGATTCTGGTCTTCAGAAAATGAATGTCGTAATTAATGGTTACTACCTTGGTAGCGAGAGTGGAAGAATTGGGAATGAAAAGTTACTTGCAACTCCATTAGTCCACTTCAACATCCATCTGTTCAACTACTGCTTGACCACAAGAATAACAATGCAACAGAAATACAGATCATGGATGAAACACATCTTATCTACTTTACACTAAACTTATTTAAAACAGTTCCTAGGAGTTTATAAGCTCTTACTGGAACCCAGGTAATCATGCAGCCTCCTGACTGGAAAAAACACTTAAATTACAAAGTTGTTTCATGCTGGCTTAATTCAAAGTGCCACTGTAGATTTTTAACTTTTTTAAAGCTCTATTCTAAATTCAGAGAAGCATCTTCCTTTCCCCTCAGAGTTGGATCACAGCAAATCAGTTGCATTTGGGTCCTGCTGGAACCATTAAGACCTAGTTACAAAAAACTTCCATTATGGAGTTTAATGCATCTTACTTGCTCTGGATACAACTCCAAAACAAGATTTCCCAGACCTCTATCATAAATAACCTGCTTTTCAGGAGAAGTATTCAGTCCAAACAGGCATAACTGCAGCTTCACAAACATTTCTTGTCTGGTGTCTCAGCATTATCTTAAAGGTGGAATTTTAAACGCAAAGGCTGAAGAATCTTTAAACCAATACGTACAAAGCAAAAGACCTTCTAAGATCTGAGTGAAGATTCGCAAAACACCTCTGTACTATAAATTTGATACAGCTTAAGTTTTCTGTCCCATGGAAATCAGATGTGTACTGATCATGTGACTAACTTAAGTCCATGTATTTCAGTGAGAAAAGTGTAACTAACACTGGATCCAGCTGTATGTTGATATTGTCTTGCAATGCAGCACTGTGTGTTTGGGGGGGGGAGGGTAATGAGAGAAACTAAAGTAACTTATTTCTACTTGCTTTTCTTTCTAGGAAGATTAAATACCCATTTATTCCACTTTTCAAGGCAGTGGGGAGGGAATACATTATATTCTGCCCAGCACACAAAAAATAATGCTATGATGAAAAGCTAAACTTCAGTTCAGCTAGGGCAAAGTATCATATGCAGAATGGTATCACTAAGTGATCGTTAAAAAAAAACATTTTTTTTAAGGGCACCTTCGTTTCCCTGGTTTTCATCTCAAGAATTTAGGTGACTTATTATTTTTCCATTCTAATTATCCAATTCTTTCCTTGTGCCTAAGTTCTTTTTTGAGAATTTGCAGCCTTCTCCAATCCTCTCCTGCCCATATTCTGTACATGTTTTTAACAATAGTTGGGGCTCTTCCAGCACAACATACAAGGTACAAAAAATGTACTGAGCTAGAAAAAGCCAAAATCCAGTGTCCTGCAAATAAATTCATATTTTAATATAAAATATTAATACAATATACTATTTTCCCCTTCTGCCCAACTTGCTATTGTAGCTTCACTCCAAAAGATTTGGGGTGGGATGGGAGGAGATGATTTCCAGCAACTACTTCCATCACAGTATTTTAAGAGGGTCTGGATGAGAGGGAGGGAGGGAATGCTGTATTCCAGAATCAGGTTAAGGGAAAAAAACAGAGCAGGAGGATGAAGGAAAAGGAGTTTTATGGAGAAGTCCAACTCCATTGAAGGCAGATACCCTGGAGGGTCCTGCAAATCTTCTCAGTATGAAACTTTCTTTCCCACACAGAAAACCTTCCTCTCCCTCCCAGAAACACAACTTGGACCATGGCTCTTGTGTCATCTTCTGCTCTTTCAGTTAGAATTAAATAATTATTAAAGGTTTTGCTATAAAGAGGAGGGTTAAAAAAAAAACAAAAACCAAAATGTAGCTTTACAGCTCTGCTATTGAGGCTGTCATGTTTCAGGTAGCTGATTAATGTCAGTCAGGTTCGTATCATTGAGGATTGCACGAATTCTCTCCAGGGAATCTGCCTGCCGGATCCGTTCCAACTGGACCTAAGCAAAAATAAGCAACAGAAAACAAAAATTAACAGAATGACGATCTGTAAGGGGAATTTAGTTTCTCTTAGGCTGTAAATTTTAAAAATCAATAGATTAAACACATGGGTAGAGATACTGGGTACGTTTAGCCTGGAAACTATAAGATTGCAGGGAGACATGATAGCAGTGTTTGAGTATCTGAAGGGCTGCCATGCAAAAGATGGGGAGTAGTTATTCAGAGTTGTTTCAGAAGACAGGACAAGGAACAATTGTTTAAATTCAAGGAAGTAAATCTTGGTTGGCTATCAGGAAACATTTCCAAATGGTAAGGGCTGTTTCAACAATGCTAAGGAGATGGTGGATTCTCCTCTGCTGGAAATTAAACAGAGCCTGGATGGATAGGGGATTCTGCACTGCGCAAGGAGTTGGCCTGGATAATCTCCAAGATCCCTTCCTACGCTTACGTTCCACTATTCTAAAAGAAAAAAATGGTTTCTCCCCTGAGCTTGAAGTAACTTTACAGAAGGGCAAATTAAGAAGAGCTATTTTACTTATCACCATTATTTGTTGGAAGAGCCTGGTAGATCCTACGACCTTGAAAGGCAGGAGCAACCAAGCAGAGCAAAAATAGTACAAGCATCTGAAAGAAATCCTAATTCTAATGGCTAGGAAGTCCAAGAACTGGTACTGTTCACCAGCTGACCGCCTCACCTGAAGGGTCTGAGAAAGCTTAACGAAATCTCTCTGTACTTGCTCACTGACATCCAATTCTGTTTGAAGCCGTTGAGCTTTGTTTTTCTCCTCGAACATCATTTGCTCTAGGTTAGCCTGGGAATGGAAACAGCGATGATTTTTGCACCATGAAAATATGGGTGTGCTTATAAAAGTAGTTGCACGATGGCCTTCCTGGTCAGAGAAGATTGGAACGGTTTTAGGAAAGGTCAGATTCTCTTACTATCTGTACTGCACTATTTCAAGGTGATTTATCCAAATCACATCTCTGCGTGTATGAAATTGGGGTCGCTCTTCCTCCTTTCCTATCCTCCATTCCCCGTGTGCATAGACTGCACATACTGAATCTAATTTGCTGCCTTGCTGAGTTTCGAGTGTTCCTTTGAAATTTTTTTTGGTTTTGCTGATTTCAGAAATACAGTATTGATCCCACTAAGTCCCTTCCGCTGTGACCGTTTTTTGTTTGTTTGTTTCTATCCAACCTTCTCCTGTTCCTCAGCCAATGACTAGGCTTGAGCATTTTCTGTCCCATCCCCATGTAGCAATTCAGTATCCTTTTAATATCACTCGTATAAAAATTTTTACCTTTGTGGCAACTTCCTTCTTCAGCTGCTCTTCGAGACCACTTTTTCTCTCCTGAAAGTTTTCCAACTGCTGTATTTTTTCTTTCAAGGTGGATTCCAACTGTGAAAATGGAAGAACTTATTAAATGGACTAAAAGCTCTCCACTGCTAACCAACCACCTTCAGCCTATCTATGTTTGCTTTTGTGTAACAGTTCACTTACTAAAACCTCTCCCTTACTGAAAGCAGAAACTGAAGCCATCACCAATTATTTTAATCTCCTCTATGGCTCAGGAGTTTCTTGGCTCCTTTTGCTTACAGATACACCACTGGCTACTTATTTTGCAAGTGTGATGTCAGGATGTACACAGAGCAAGCAGTTTTATTCCAGGTGTACAGAAAAATCTCAGAAATACCATTAATTAGTCCTTTGACATGTAGTTTGGTACCATTACTATGAAGTAGCTTGTGACTCTGAATACGATCCTCAATTTTATGCAGAAACTTTATCATAAAAAGAAGAGGGGAACAAGTATAAAAAACACTATTTTGATAGTTTCACCTAAATGCTTTCATTTCCCTCTCTATTGTTCTCTGTTATCAGTTCCTGTTTATGTCCAGGAACAAACAGCATAACTAGGAAGGAAGACATACAGCATTTCCCCCACTCCCAAGAATTTGGAGTAACTGCAGTCACTAGATAAGAATTTACTCTGTGTTTGAGTATGATGTGAAGACTTTTGGATAGGAGATCAATGTAATCCAAGATATATGGAGGGGAAAAAACCCTCAAGAGGTGGGTTTTTCTTGCCATGGCATACTGACCATCTCCCAAAGTCTTTAGATGAGACCCTTACCTGCTCTTTATCAACTCTTATTTGCTCCAATTCTGTTTTTAGATTGGATGCAGCAGCTGTTAAAATACAGAAAAAGTTTTAATTTCATTATGAACTCATATTCAGCTCATGTTAACTAGGAAGGGATTAGTTAATTGAAAAGGCAAGGTGGAATCCTCTGAAAAGGATAAAGAGAGCCCTTCTCTCACCTATTTCCTCTTTGCAATTCTCTATTTCTAGCTGGAGAGTCTCTTCTATATTCTCTTTTAAACATTGTTCGGCTTGAATCTGTTCTTTTAAAAATAAAATTTCTGCCTTCAGTTTTTCTTCCAGATGATCGGCCGCAGTTCGTACTCTAATAATGTCTTCACGATACTTGAGGACCAGTTCACGGAGTTCCTGAAACAAAGGCTTCTATATGTCAGACAACTGCCTTCTCCCATACATACACCCTTTCTGGTGCTAATAAGGGACTTTGACTTATAACTGATTTTAAAAAGGACAAAAGGAGGGAAAGATACAAAAGGGGAAACAGTAGTCTTGGGTGCTTTAAAAAATAGTAATTCCAGTTCTAGAGAATCAATATCTTCACTGTTTTTTTAAAAAGGTAAGGGGAGGCAGGAGTTCAATACTAAAAAAATATTCCACAGCAACATTAAATTAGTTTAATGCACAACACAAGGGTAGGTTCCTGAGCCCATGGGCAATGTCAGAGCAGTCAACTACCAGAAGGGCATTTCTAAGGCCAGCAGTACATGTAATTTCGGGCCTCACGTAGTTGCCCCAACCTCAGTCCATCCAGATATGTAACCTATATAAGTTAATAACCAGAGGACACCAGGTTAAGGAGGACTGGCAAAACAAGGGGAGCTGTAATAATTACAAAGCTGTAAAGCCACTATACTGTTTTCTACTGTTTACTACAGTTCTACAGTTCTACTGTTTACTACAGATGCCAAGCAGTAATTGCCAGATGCCAAGCAGTAATTCCCGACTGTAACAACTTTAAAGAGTCATGCTTAAAATGTTGTTTAAAAACACACGACCACAATTGCATAATAACCTATTCTACCTTGATCTCAAATGCTTTTAAGCAGAAATGGGAAGAACTTATGCGGCTACAAACCATACACTTTATCACTAAAAAACTCCCTTTTCTCCTTATGAAGCAGTATCTGTTACTGTGATAGCTCCAGCCAGGATAATAACAAAATACAGTATCGGCTGCTTTAGAGTGGGAACCCTATGATTGTTCCAGATATACTGGAAGTCATCTAGATTAAGGCAGATAAACACCAAAGTGTAACCATAGATAGGGTTGCAGTTTTTTCTAATTTAAGATTTCAGTTCAGATAAATGTTACAATCAACATTACTTGAAACAAGTTTCTACATTTTTAATCTTAAAAAAGTGATGACTGTTATTCCTAGCTTCAGTGTCAAGAATGTCTTACCCAATATTATGCCCCAAACTGATCCATTTAAAATTAACCAAGAGATATCCTACCTCTCCAGATTCTGGAAGGATAAAGTCCTCAGCTTGCTGCAAAGACAGATGCAGACAGTGTTTTCCTTGAAGGCTTTCATTGTCTTTCTGGAGCCTCACCAATTCCTCTGAAACAAGCTCTCGTGACTGCATCAGGACAGCCTCCAGCAAACAAAGAAAAAATTAAGCTCTCAAAAACCATATCCTCAGATTAACTCTCATTTCATTCTTAACATGGTGGAAGTATACAAAAATTGCAGTGGACAAAACAGGAAAAAAACCACCAATATGAAGAATGCCTTTGCTGACAATGATTTTCTCCCTGTTCCCACAACCTATTCAATGGGAGAGTAGTGAAGTTTTCAGTGAAAACACTGAAAAAGGGGATCAGTTAAACCAGTCAACCAATTTGTAGGGCTATTTGATCCAAAACAAACCCAATCATGCACAGGCTTAAACTAATTCCCCCCAATCAGCCATTCTGGGAGAACACATAAACCCAGTTAATGAACTCAGTTTGCCTACCATGTCCTTCAAGAGAAAGAGCTGGAGAGAAGGAGCCACTAAAAGACCAAGCCTTTGATTTTCAGAATTCACTTCCCAAACACCGACTGGACGCTGTAGCCAGCGTACATCTACTGTTGCCTTACTCGCCAATGGGAAAGTCTTGCCAGTACTTTCTCAGTGCAGTGGCTCATGAGACACTAAGCACTTCCTGAAGAAAGTGAGTGGGGACTCTGCATTTACAAATGGTTTGGCCCACTTATTCCAGCTGTGATTTGCCAGAAACACTAATAGCTGACTGGGTTAAGTTGTGGTAGCAGGGCCTTACACATTAACCCTAACTGGGATTACTAATAAATTTTTAAAAATCAATTGGGAATCAGCATGAATTTAAATGTTGCAGAAGACACTTTAAAAGCATCCAATCTTCAGCCAGGTTTCCTAACTAACAAGTCATATATTAACGGACTCTCAGATTCTCAGTTACCTCAAACAGCTTTGCCATTTAACACCCCTAGTAATTTTAACATTCTATGAGTAAAATAGCAGATACAACTCTACAATAATTCATAATGACCTAATTTTAAAGGAAAACAAAGGACAAACATCGGAATCTAATTACATCAAGTGAAAGAAGTTTGGAGTGTATAGTTCTAGGAAAAAGAGTAACTGTATAGGGCAGTGTTTCTCAACCTTCGCAACTTTAAGATGTGTGGACTTCAACTCCCAGAATTCCCCAGCCAATTTTGGGAGTTGAAGTCCACACATCTTAAAGTTGCGAAGGTTGAGAACCAGTGGTATAGAGTGTATAACTGGCTGCATAAATAAAAATATAGTCCCTTCCAAGGGCACATGATTTCCTCCAGAATGCTACAGAACAACAGATCAACTGATTAAGAACTGTCTAAAATTTATTCTCACCACTATTAAGTTGCTGTTTTACAGACAGTGCAACTAATGAGACCATGTGGATCTTACAGGAAACCCAACTAACTGAAATGCACACCTAACATTCTTCCCAATCCACATTCCTGACTATATTTCTGGGCTTGCCTCCATAATGACATATCCACAATGTCACTTATCAAGCACCATTCCAACCAATTGTATTCTTTTCTGTTCAACTTTTTCCTAAATGTCACAGTGGGCCACTTAGACAAACTAGTCTTTTACCATTTAGACAAGCTGGAAGAGAAATACATCTCCATTCTGCAGACCAGTGTTTCTCAACCTTGGCCGCTTTAAGCTGTGTGGACTTCAGCTCCCAGAATTCCCCAGCCAGCATGGCT